CTGCAGGGAACTCTGCAAAAAACGCATCTTCGCACGGGCAGCCCGTGCGTTGGCCAATTTTTTCTACGTGTACAGACAGCTCTTCGCTTTGTGCGTTTTTACATTTGCACAGTCTAACTTTGTGATGTCCGCGGAGATTTCACTCAGGAACAGTTCTTCAAAGCCAAGTATGGAAATATTTCGTCAGCTAATGTAATGCATATTCCAGTGCGGCTCATCCAACTTCCAGAAACGCATGAAAGTTGAATGAACGGCATTAGAATATGCATTACGTTAGTTGACCACATGTTAACACATTTGGCCCCGAAGAGTTGTTTCTGAATGAAATCTCCATGGGCGTCACAAAGTTAAGTACCGTGTGCGCTTTTGAATTGTGTGCACACCGGTGTAATAAAATAATCAGTCATTTGCAGGAAGTGCTGAACAGATTCAATAAAATAATGCCATTGCTTCATCCTGTCAACGACATGAAAATAAATGATTCGGCGGTGCAAGAAAATGTTATCAAGTTGGAGGCATTGGAAAAACGAATATTGTATCATCCATCGAGGTAAGTGGGCTGTTGTCAGTGAAATGGAGTTACTGGTTCTGCATAGGCATTTTCCACTTTTGCTGTCGAATTCGCATAAGGAAACGTTTTAGGGATAACAGAAATTTCGAGGAACTTTATGAAAACTATAAAAAGAAGCTGGAATTGGAAGCGAATCTGGAAGTGGCGAAAGCTGAATTAAAGAAGGCACAAAGCTTGCTGCAGCTGGAAGAACTGAACTGCAGAAAGCACGTATTGCGAAGATTACAGTACTGTGATGGAAATGACGTGATTCAGCCAAAGGTAAGGATTTAACAAATTGTTTATGATTTGTACAGCAACAGCTTCCTCCTGTGCTAGAGAAATGCAGACCTAATTCTTAGTCCTAATTCTTTTCTTTCCTGCTTGGAAACAGATGGTTTACCGATATTCGGAAAGGCAGCACTCTGACAGTGAATTAGCTGTAGCTTATTTTTTTTTTTTGCAGTGTTGAGTTTTTTGCGCTTTGTGCTGTGTAACAGCAGTACAAAACGCATATTGTTACGGGGTTGTCTGTGTGTATGTGTTTGT